AATGCCGGAAGTTGTAACATCTGTTATGGAGTTGTTACACGGCAAGGCAGTTGAGCTAATAAAAGTAAAGTTTCACTGCATCCAGACTTGGGCACTTTTTTTTTTTTATTTGTTATTTTTGTATATAGATATATAAATGTAAGTGTATTGGCTAAGGAGGTCGTGATAAATATTGGACAGGCTGCATTAGGTTTTGTGAAGGTATTGGTTTCATGTGTTGAAGCAAATAATTTGCAGCCTTTACTATCGGACATTGTGGATGGAATTATTCGTTGGTCATCCGTCTCCCGTCACCATTTCAAATCAAAGGTGTGTGACCTCCATTGTTTTCTTACTTACATCTTGAATGATCAATGTTTGGAATAACAAAAAAAGAAAAAAAAAACCTCTTCGCCTAAAATGCGCTTTGAATTATTTCTTTGTTAGTTGTATTGAGGTGCTTGTTTTTATGTGGCGTCAAGTCAGTGTAATACTGGAGATCTTGATGAGGAAGTGTGGTCCTGCGAAAGTGAAGGCACTTGTGCCCGAGAAGTACAACGATTTTGTGCAGGGTGTTTATGCGGTACCTAGTCCTTTTATACTCAAATGTCGTATTTTATAATACATGGGGTACCTTTTTGCATTTACTCCAAATCATTTGGGTATTGAGTTTATAAACATTATCAGATAGTGGATAATTGATTTTCTCAACACCACATATAAACAACAATAACTTGAATTAGCAGAAATAAACCTTTGTGGATAAGTTCTTAATGACAACTACTGTATCGACATATTGCTGTAGAATCGTCATGGGAAGGCGAGTTCTGAGGAAGCCGAACACAAAGACTCCAAACCAGAGCCTTCTGATTCGTCTCCCAAGAGGTTAGCTTCTTTGTCCTGAGTTAGTTTTCTAGTTTACAAACTAACCCTTAAAATGTCACATAACAATTTCGTAAGGGTTATGTTAAAAACCTCACGGTTTGTCAGAAACTTTTTCGTTAGAGTTGATATTGTCTGATATATTACAACAACCGGCTATATTCCAGGCAGTAGAAGAGAAAACGAGGAGAATCTGCAGGTGAGGGAAGACCCTGGAAAAGGAATCGTGACGAGAATGAAAAGGGTGGCAAGGCCATTGCAATAGGCAAATGTCCTAATCAAGGTAACCGACAAAAGGACAAATCAGACAACTTTCAAGGCAAGAAGCATAATGACAGGACAACAGTTAATAAGAATGGTGGAAAAAGCATGCTGAGACCAGCCGGAGTTTCCAAATTTGCGAAGAACAGAAATGTTGGAAGAAAGGAGAGAAAACCGACTGCTCGTAGGGCATGAAAGAGCTGTAATTTTTGGTATCTAGCCACTGTTGTTAGTATTATTGTATTATTATTGTTTTTTTTTGGATTGCCTTGGGATTATTGGGTTCAGACTGTGTAATCTGGTGCTGAGAAAATGATGTTTTACTTGAAGTACAATGTAGAGTTTTTTGTTCAATGAAGATGCAAAAGTTTTTTCTTCTGATAGGGACAAAATAGATGGATAAAGATGGGTAGAATTAGTAAAGCAGAAGAGTGTTAATCAATTATGAAACTGGTTCCTGGTTCAATCCTGGTTCAATTTTACTTCGTTAAAGGCTATAGCTTGGTAGGTCTAATGGTTAGACATTTGAATAGGGTTATTCGTAATAGTTTTTTTTAATGTATGTAGATACTTTCAAATTATGGAAAAAATCTCTCTCTAAAAAACCAAAATCCCCAAATCTAACCTAACCCTCCGCTGACACCTGCGTGCTTCTCCCCTCCGGAGGCCCTTGGCCTTGTAATTCCGGCGGACATCTGGCTTGCTGGTCCGGTGGCGGTGGTGGCTTTGTGTCGATTCTTCCCAGAAATGGTTCCGCTCTCCTCGTAGCGCCATGACAGAAGTAATTGATGTGGGGTGCAGTCGGTGTCGGGTCTGGCGGCCACCGTTGAAGTCGTTGTGG